AGTAAATATTAAAATATTAAATGAGGTATTTGCAGTTTCATAGAGGTTTCTTTACGAGCTTAGACTTTGAAGAGAGACTCCTGCGGCGTGAGTTTTATGATTGAGCAGAGTAGAGCAAACTTACGTTCTTCAGTTTTGTCACGTGGCCGTTCGTGGTTGGGTAGTTTGTCAATATTTAGTTTTACTGGTCTGCCATATCATATTAATTGAGATTTAATTCAAACAATTCTAAATAGATTAAGAAAAAGTGTGGATATGTGCATTTAGTAACACTGCGTGAGATAAGCATGGGCCATGTACAAGATGAATATGGGCCCCTCAAGCTAGGCCCGAAACCCCAAACAACCAGAAAAACTAACTCAAAATTTTATTCCTAATTACTTGTATTAAGTAAAAATTAATCACCCTCTTTAGTAGTTTGTTTAATAACTATTTGATTAAAATTTATATTAAGCAGAGACCATCAAGCTTTGTGTCTCAAAATGAAACGTAATTGAATTTATTAAAGTAAGTGATGGTTACTTATGAGTAAACGACTTTTCTCCACCCAATGTTTGCTTTAATGACATTTTTCCACTCAAAAAATTTCAAAATATCACTTTTTCACCTAAAGTTTATATTATGTTAATACTTAAAATACACTTCACTTTTTTAACTGAAGTTCGACGAGTTACTAGGAGTTAGGATAAAAGTGGTTTTATAAAGTAGAGGTTGGTGGATCGAATGATAGTGACAGATTAAATGTTCGTTGCCGGAATTAGCCAAAAATCGACTAAGAATAGCAAAACTAACTTTGTGATGACCGACAATCGATGAGAAGTCAGGTCTTATAGTGAGGGAGATTTTGTAGAGAGAAGACTAGAGATTCAAATGGTAGTGACAGAGAGAATTTTCGCTGTTAGAATCAACTTCGGATAGTGACGGAATATTAATTTGGGGTGAAAAAGTATTATTTTGAAACTTTTTAGGTGGTAAAATGTCACTAAGGCAAACCTTGATTGAAAAAAGTTCGTTTACTCCTTAATATATTTCTCTAATTTGTATTTATTTATTTGTCTTGAAATTGTCTCTTTTGAAAAGTCATACAAGTTCTAGCGTGAACGGAGTGTATGAAGGGGAAGATTAATGAATAATGAGACAACCTTCCAGATTTCATTGATCAAAAACCAATTGAATATGGGGACCCTTTAATTTAATTTAATCTTCTCCAATTAAATAACACATTAATTATACCTGCAAGCAACACGGTCCTTACAGTATCTTAACCAATTTAATTACCAATGACATTATTTTCGAAAAGACTAAACCATTTTCCCACCCAAGGTTTACCTTAATAACTTTCCCACCCAACAAGTTTCAAAATATCGCTTTCGCACCCAAAGTTTATATTCTATTAATACCCAAAATACATTTCACTTTCTCAGTTGATATTCGGCAAGTTACCAGGAGTCAAGGTAAGAAGGTTTTTGTAGAGTGGAGATCGGTGGATCGAATGGTGATAACCAATTGAATATTCGCCTTCGGGATCAGCCAAAAATCAGTTAAGAACAGAAAACTCTAGCTTTGTGATAGCAGAAAATTGACAAGAAATTAGGTGCCGAGGTGAGAGAGGCGTTGTAGAGAGTAGACTGGAGGTTCAAATAGTGGTGACAGAGAGAATTTTGCCGTCAGAATCGGCTTTGGATAGTAACGGAATATTAATTTTGGGTGCGAAAGTGGCATTTTAAAACTTTTTGGGTGAAAAGTGTCATTAAGGTAAACCTTGTGTGAGAAAAAGTCATTTACTTTTTCGAAAACTTCCAAACTGAAACAGGAAAGAAAACGAGTGCTCCAGAGAATGAGAGAAGTTCTATCAACATTCCTAATTGGTCTTTTTAATTAATTAAGTCATTGTAAACTAATTTTATTTTAATTAAACAAGATCAGTGAACAAGATTTTCTCTGTCACTTTACAATCAGTAATCTTCACTATTCAAGTGTTTAGTTACGTAAAGACTTATACATATGCACGTGTCGTATTGTTTCATTTCTTATAAGCATTAATCTGAATTTAATTTGTCAATTAATCATACTTTTGTTGTTATTTCTTAATTCAATATCTACATCCATTAAATTCATAAGATTAGTTTACTCACATATAGTATAATTGGACTATTCTTAAGTTGACAAATAACGGTTGGACATCGTATTTAAATGAGAATTTGAGGTGGGTCTGACTCCTTACCCAATAAGGTCTTGTTGAATTAGAGGATTACCCCCTCTTATAAACCAATAGGCTGGAGCGAACCTAGTCAATGTAGGACTCCAACATTAAATATTAATAATAAGAGATTATTATTATTATTATTATTATTATTATTAATTAGGTTATAACTCATTAATCCATAACATTAGCGTACTCATAGTATGAACCCTAAAGTTGACTAATAAGAGCTCGATAATTATATAGCTCTAGGCTCTAGCTTTAGGACATATATATATTTTCATCATATAGTTAGGTTTATGTATAATGAGCTTGTATTAAATAAACGACTAAAAAAATTCAGTAAGTTTAAGCCTTGAATTTAGTTAAGAGAAGTACACAAGGGTAATAGTAAATCACTTATATAACTAATAATTTAAGTACATGTTGAGAGTTTATTAAAAACTCAAAGTCACATGTCTAACAGGAAGACTCAATTAGTTCAGAAACGATGAATCTGTTGCAATTAAGTCTCTTTTGTTTTTTCTTTTATTATTCTAAATATTATAGCGTATTATGGCTGCAAATTAATATGATCAGTAGAGTTTTGAAAATAACTGCATTTTCAAACTTTACGTCTTCTCTGAGTGATTTTGATTTCTTGCCATCGATATATGTGAAAAAAAATTGAACCTAATCCACCCTTGTGGTAAAAGAAAATCAGCATTTATGTAAATAACTAGTGTTTTATTCTAGGTTTGACCCAGAAAAAGGCCATATAGCGTGAAAAGGGTTTCAGTATATGCATGAATGTTTTCTTTTTTTCATTTTTTAAAGTATAAATCTATAATATTTATGTCACGATGACTGTTTTATAACCCAAAATTTCAAATTTATAATATAAAATATCATTTTAATTATACAGTATAAATTACTGCAGCATCACGTTATACAGTATATAGAAATTCAATTTTACAGTAGACGGAGAAAGGCAATCCCTTAAGCCGAGGCATGATATCTGGACAACTGATTTAACGGTTTTCTTTAAAAACAATATTCACATGTAACTGTCACTGTCACAATCATGGAAAAAACAAATGAAGCTAATTTAATTAGCCTAAAACCTAAGTTAGCGGCTGATGTTGTGAGTAATCCCATTTGCCATCGGTCTCTTTCACATACTGTTTTAAGGTATATTTTCAAAGATTTTGCCATGTCCTTGCCCGCTTTTAATGGCTTTTCAATTGCTATTTGATGCTTTCTAGGGCAATTAATTTCTACATATTGAACATTTCCACAAAGACCAGTAATGTAAACCACACAAGCATGCTAGACTCGAAGTGAAAAAAATATAATTAAGAGACATGATGATGAATGATGATGATCGATATTCTCACGTCTTGTTTGATTACTAAGTATTGCGGTGCATGATTTGAGGATTTGATGAGCATTAATTTAGGGTAGATTGAGATTTTAGACTTGGTCACATGACTTTGTTTTTTTTTATCAAATTATTTTCAAGGCATGACTTTGGATCACACTTGGTTTAATTTGGACTTCATAGTTCATACTCGCCAATGGGATTAATCCATTTTCTCCAGGACAAGCTGTTTATTTGATTATATGTGATCTTCTTGTATTTTCTATTTTGTCAACAGCTTCGAAGTGTGATGCAAATCTTATATTAAAAGATTTATCTTCTGTTTGTATCAGTCTAGTCTAACCTTTTATGTAAAAATTAATAATGTCTTGTTTAATTAATTAAGCTTTAAGGAAGGAATAAGGAATTTAGAAACTTTAATTATTATACAGTAAAATCTGTTTGATCTGCTTTAGTTTCTCTCCAGTCTGTGTGATGGCCTATATTAATTCCTTCATTCAAACGTTACAGTTTCTAAGTTATCCTTAAATAAATAACTTACAATTAGAGGGACAAAACCTTAAACTGCTTTAAGCTCAATCAAGATCAAAAACTACTCTCCTTAATTTTAAAAAATCTCGTCCACAAATTGCACATTCCTTACATGCCTTCAATTTGCAATTGTGGAACATATATATATATATATATATTTGGTGACCAGAGTTCGGGTCAGCTTACACGCACCTCAACTAATCTTTCGGGACCTTAAAATGAATGATCGAGTAAATCCCTTTAGTAATCACCCCTATTAGTGTCTGCGAGAATTCGAATTAAAGAACTCATGTTAGACCCTTTGCTCTTTTACCATCAAGTCAACCATGTTGAAACAAATATTCCAAACCAATATTACTGTATACTAAAACTACATATTCTACGATGAACAGAAAAAGAGAGAAGAAAGAAAAGAAAACTTTATACCGAAAACGTGCCCACTGTCCACCACAAATTATAAGATAAACATAGAAAAAACATGCTCATGAATAGTGTGAGAAGTAAATCAATAAACTAGAATGGTGGGTCAAGTAAACGCGGCTGAATTATGTATGATCAAAATGTAAAAACAACCAAGCACGACATGAGAATTTCCGCAAAATGAAATATAAGAGAACATGGGTAACGTCATTAATTTTATTTTCATCATATATTGATTCGTTTTAACAGAATTTAATGTTGATGATTTCATGATTAGAGTAAATGAAAGAAAATTAATGCCGTGTACATTTTATAAACTTATAATTGATATAAATGAGTGACGAATCATATATGCGCCCAAAACTTTTCTTACGATATCTACAGTTAGCTTACTTTTTTAATTACAATATCAATAGTGAACTTCAGCTGCGAATTTGCCTATATAAATCACCCCACTTATCTCTCCTTCACTGGACATCCCAAATTACTCTCTCTCTCTCTCTCTCTCTCTCTCTCTCCATATGATGGAAATGCATAGTTTTAAGAGCCTTGCTTTGATAATTCTTATTACGTTGTTTCTTTGGTCTGCAAGCTTTGAAACATGCAGTGGTAGAGAAATGAAACAGAGAGATACGCCAGACTCAGAGTTTTTCTGGAATAAGAAAGAAAATGAGTTTGGTGGAAATGACTTCCATGAAAGCAGAAAACCAAAGTTTATGTATGATAATTTCCAACCATACAAAAGTGTGAAGAACGCTGCCACTTTTAATGTATTAAACTTTGGAGCTAAAGGTGATGGCCACACTGATGACACAAAGGTGATAATCTCAAACCTTCATGTAATTTTGCATTTCATTAGTTTCAGAGAAACGAAGCCATTCGAAGTTCCAAGCAGCATGCTTAAGTTCTTCTTACATGCTCGGAGGTGATGAAATAGAACACAGTTTGTGTTGTGCTGTAGAACCTGCTGAGAACGTGGGCAGCAGAAAATGATAATGAAAATAATTAAATAACGTATACTGACACTGTAATAATAACATTGTTGTTACATTCAAATTGCAGGCATTCGAAGCAGCTTGGGAAGCGGCTTGTAAAGTTGAAGCTTCAACAATGGTGGTTCCAAATGGTTTTGTATTCCTCGTCGGACCTGTTTCCTTTTCAGGCCCTGATTGTGAACCAAATATTATATTTCAGGTAATTATTTAAATTCCATTTTAAGTTTATAAACCATTTTTTATTTATTAACGAGAAATGAAGGTAGTTGGGAAATCAAACAGTGATAATTGACTGGAAGGATATTTTCAATCATTGACAAGTTTGCTTTTCTTGGTTTGATGTTTAAACCTGAAGCGTTCATTTCATGGGGTCTACATAGACTTCATGTGGATCGTATACGTAACGTAATACGGATTTAGGGCTGATTGATGGTTAAAGGTTTCCTAAAATGTATTGTTCTAAGTTGACCACTGAAGAGAAGTAACTCACAAAATTTTACTATTCTATGCAGCTGGATGGGAAGATCATAGCTCCAACAAGCTCTCAAGCTTGGGGTTCAGGCCTTTTACAGTGGCTAGAATTCACCAAGCTTAAAGGCATTACCGTAAAAGGTAAAGGTGTCATTGACGGACAAGGCTCAGTCTGGTGGGCCGACTCGCCCAAACACCATCCAACAGATGATTCAGTAAGAGGCTTCAACATGGCCACTTTTAATGCCTTTTTGCTAAAACTAATGCATTTACACTAATGAAGACCATATCTTGCAGATGAGCTATGAAGATGCAAAGATGCCCAGCACCAAGCCAACGGTAATTATCCTGTCTAAAACTAATGAAAATCTGGCAATAATTTTGAGATCAAGAATTTACATATTTATGGGATTGCCCTTCTTGTGCAGGCACTAAGGTTCTATGGAAGTGACGGCGTGACAGTCACAGGCATAACCATTCAAAACAGCCCTCAAACCCACCTCAAATTTGATGCCTGCACAAATGTTCAGGTTTCCAGTTTCACAACTTCATCTCCAGGTGACAGCCCCCACACAGATGGAATCCACCTGCAGAACTCCCAAAATGTGCTCATTTATAGCAGCACTCTTGCTTGTGGTAATTCTAACACTCCAACATGATTCAGCTTTCCACAATCACAAACAATACTGAGTTACCACTGCATTTTACAGGAGATGATTGTGTATCTATACAAACTGGATGTTCAAACGTATACATTCACAACGTGAACTGTGGACCTGGACATGGAATTAGCATTGGGGGGCTAGGAAAGGACAGCACCAAAGCATGTGTTTCAAACATAACTGTTCGAGATGTCGTAATGCAGAATACATTAACCGGTGTCAGAATAAAGACATGGCAGGTATAAACAACTTATCATCACCCAAATTTTCTCTTACAATGATGCATGTGTAAAAACCATTAATCACAATAGAACTATCCTTGTAAATATGTTTAGATATCTACAACCCATATTTTCTGCTCAGCTTGAGCGAGTATTTCTATTGTTTCTAACTTGCAGGGAGGCTCAGGCTCCGTGCAACAATTAATGTTCTCAAACATTCAAGTCTCAGATGTCGAAACTCCAATCATGATTGATCAATACTACTGTGACAAGAGCAAATGCCAGAATGAAAGTTCAGCCGTGTCTGTATCAGGTATAAACTACATAAATATCCGAGGAACCTATACACAAAAACCTGTGTACTTTGCTTGCAGTGACAGCTTGCCATGCACTGGTATATCTCTAACTACCATAGCACTAAAACCATCTGAAGAGTACCAGCAACCATTGTGTTGGGAAACATATGGAGAACTGAAAACAAGCACTGTACCTCCAATTACCTGTTTGCAAACTGGCAAACCCTCAAAATCCAGTGTTCCTTACAACAGTGACTCTTGCTAGAATCAGACTAGCTTTACTGTGGTGTAGGGAAGATTTCGTGCTCTGCCTCTGTTCATAGCAGTAGCGCATGTTAGTGTCAAATATGATGCCACTGTCAAATCATAGTAGTGCACAGGAACTTTTATTAGGGATACAGCAGTTCCTAAAGCAGCAGATTACACAATATTGTAATATTCTAAATGCATAATACAAAAGGTGTTGTATGTTCTTTTAATGGAAAGTATATAAATTAAGTTAGCTGAATCTGTTATCACACAAAATGATACAGGACAACCTAGAGATGTTAAGGATTTAAAATTAGTTTCCTATTTCCTTAAGATTTTTATGTTGATTTTATTTCCTAGCCAGTCTTTTTTCATTTTCTATAAAAACTTGGCCCTATAAATAGAAGGCCTAGGTTATTATCATTTCTTGGACTTTGATTACGATTATTGAGAAATAAAGATGGATTTCAGACTCTAGTTTCCTCTCTTTTCTTTTAACTTGTCAGATCCCCATCACAGAATCTCAAATATTAATTGATTTCTCTATGGCTTTGATTACCAGCTGAAGTGAAGAAAAGCCATTTATATCACTAGTGCCTCCAATGTTGCAAAGCACCGGAAAAATGCATAGAAGAATACATGTGTCCACCAAAAACAATCGAAGGTTTGCAACACACTGATGGCCTGACATGGAAATCAATAAATACAACAAACAGTAAAAATAAATGAGTATATTGTATAAAAAGAATGCAATCTAGTTTTGCCACTTAAACACACACACATGAGAGAAAACATTCAATTCTCATCATATTACTATTAAAATTGCTAATATAGAACAAAGCAATGGAGCACAAATAGAATGTTGTTACTTCTTGTCCTCATTTGCCAGTGTATGTTAAAAAGTATGTGTAATAACATAATCTGGTATTGATAACCTGTTATTCGTTGTTAATGTGTTCACTACACGCTTCTGCTCAGCAAGTTCTTGAATGTTACATGTTCAGCATCATGCCTAAGCTCACCTATCCTATTCAACATAACACAACAAAATAAGAACAAAGTTTAAATATTAATTCAGGTGACAATGAATAAAAATTATCAGTTTACAATTTATATGAAGCCTGATTTATTTGCGGAAGCCCATTGTATATTTATGATTTTCCAAAACCGACTGCAGCTTTCCTCCTCCTACGTGCTTCTACCCTTTCAGGGGTTGGGAATCCAGTCTTATCTTCATATTTCTTTTCTAAGGCCTGGAAAAATTACATCAGCGTTAGGCAAAAATACATATATATCCTGAATATTAAAAAATCAGGACAGCTCACTACACACAGTGTCTTCACTTATATATATATATCATACGGTGGAATGACAAAACAAAAACCTCTACAAACAAAATGATTGAGTATTGTCAACAAGAATTTTTAAATTCGCCAACATACTGGGTTGTGCTTTAGTGTTAGGCTAAAACTTTCGAAATTATGCATATCTGAGACCCACTTTTATGGAAAGGTAGCTCACACATGATAACATTCAGCACAGCCAGAGTGCCACTGAGAACTAAGATTCACGTGCACAGAGTAACTAGGTGTGCCAAGTATAGCCAGTCAATTCTGTTAGGTTTGTTAGTGCTTAGTTTGGTGCTTCAGAGCTCACTGACGTGATATCTGGCAGATTTCAAACATATTCCCATATATAAGTGCTGGTTTATCAAGTTTCACTGGTACTTAGCAGAACATAGGTTGATGAATTGATGTTTTACTTTGTAAACCAAGCCACGAAAACATACGCTATTTAGCAGACCTAATAAACTTTGTACTAGTCATTTAAACATGATTTTGCTAATTGTTTAATCAACATGCAAGCATGCATGTGTCTATGTGTGTGAGAGAGATCAGTGTCCACATCACACAATTAAAACAATATTTTCTTTCTTAATGAATCCGCAACCTCAATAGCAAAACTGATCTACATGAAGTCAACAATTCATCGATGGAAGTAAATCCTTTCCAAAAGCCATGAGAGATGGGAATGCCTTGATACTTTATTGACTATAATATAACTGTTTCCAGCCACTAAATAGATCCAAGAAACTACTATTGAGATCAGAGCTTTCAACCTTGAAAAAGAAATTAGTAATTGACTCTGTCCACTGCCTGCCCATTCTGGCCTATGGATATAGTTTCCAAGCAGTGGGAAAGCAAAGTTCTACATTTTGTCCAGGTATAATCTCGTTTTCATACGCTAGGGCATAATATTACCAAGTAAAAAAAAAAAATAGAAAATTTTCTCATCTGATTGGAACACAACAATCTAGTCATGATTCTGCTCACCTGTAACTGGATACAAATACTGTCAAGAACTTCTTCAGTCATTCTATCAAAGAACAATATCCCCTGCAGATTTATAAGAGATTTTAGCAAAAAGAAGTCATTCATGACCCTAAAAAATGCATTGATTAAATTTCGGACATTTAAGCAGACCAATGCAAGATAACAAGTAGGAAATGCACGGAGTTGTGGCCCTTTAGATTATCTATACGAAACATACTTTGCAAGCGAAGAGAAAAACAATATAATAATAAAATCAACTTACGATCAATTTGCAATATATATTAATCAAGAGCATACAAACCAAGGTTATAAAAAATTTACACATACGTTCTATCAACAAATGTAAGGACAAACTCGTTCATTCTTGAAAAGAAATAGTATATCAAATTTATGTTCACAAACCTCCAAATGGTCAAACTCATGCTGGAATACCCGTGCAGGAAGACCAGACAAATTGAATGAAAACCTAGTACCATTAATGTCCCGAGCATCAATCTTTACAGATTCTGGTCTCTGCATGTGAGAAAAATGAGAGACATCATAGATTGTCTTAAGAATAATACAAAACAACAAAAAATGCCCTGCAAGCTCAGAAAAAAAAAAACAAAAAACAAAAAACACAAAAACAAAAACGAAAACAAACAAACAAACTGTAGCTAACAAAAGGAGTTGGTCATTTAAATTAAACTGCTTGTGTTGGAGATTAGACCTTGCCACCGCAACACTTTTCTACTTAAACACATAAAGAATGATTCAAGAACTAATATTTTCTCCTGGAAGCTCAAAACAGAAGTTTGAAACAAATGAGTGCAGAAAATAAACAGAAACATTGAGCAGGATACACACATTTCCCAAGTAAAAAATGCATATGTAGCTTTTTATGGCAACATTTTCAAACAAGAAGGAGAATAAAAAGAGAATTAAATGTAGGAATGAGAAAAAATAAAGCAAATCAGCAAGAAGTTCAAAGTACCCACAATCTGCTGATTAGACCAGACAGAACTAGCACTTGAAAAAGGATGGTAAGCGTATAAAATAAGTATTTGTAAATACCTGAACATCGGCACAGATTCCAGGAAAAGATAGGCAACCTTCATTAAAAAGCACCTTTTTCTTTGAATACTTGTTAACTCTTGGATTAATGAGGACAATTTCCTGTCCTTCACCACACTCACCAACTGGATTAAACACCATAAGTTGTACATTCATTCCTACTTGGGGTGCTGAGAGCCCTATGCCATCAGTTCTGTTAAAAAGGAAGCCAACAACAATTGTTCACACTCCTCTAAATAGCAAGGACCTTTATAAGCATCCAATAGTAGAAACGCCTCAATATCAGAATCATATGACTTCCAATTAGCAAACAGAACTAGTACATGATCTATGGGACTTCTTGACAAACTTGATAGTCAAGCCAATGTCTAAAACCACCACTACCCAAAAACTCAGTAGCTATAGCTGAAGTCAAGTATCCTCCCTCCAAATGGTTGGTTTAACTCCAATAATGCTCTAGTTAGATTAGGAAGCAATGAAAATAATTGAAAGAAAATTCACTACACTCCTTGTAATCATATAACTCCATTTATGTTAATTATATTTACGCTAATCTTCTTAATTACTTAACATTAAATACTCGCTAAAAGATTGCAATAAATTCAAACTAGGACCAGAAAATGCAACAAATGAACTACACAACCACTAAAGTTATAGAGGGCATTCAAAATTTTAATTCTTATCCCATTCACAAGGATTTTCTTAGTATACCAGGTCAATAACATTACTTCAACATGAAACTTGTAGCCTCACACGTCACGCTTACAATATCTACAAATACTTTTGTTACTGCATTTAATATCATTAAGAGTGTAACTCATAAATAGCAAAACATTCGTCAAGCTCATGTGTAAAACAGAGAACAAGAAAAAAGCTCACTTATACATAACGTCGAACATCTCATCGACTAATTTCTTCAAATTATCGTCAAACGTGACAATTCTTTTGTTTCTCGCCCTCAATATCGGGTCCGGATACTCCACAATTTTTAGTGGCGGTTCAAAATGAAGATCAGCCGCTGAAAAGAAAAGAAAAAATAACGAGCACAAACTTAAAATCTACAAAGAAAAAAAAAGATTTAAGAGTAAGAGCAGTGAGGTTTGCTTACGAGAAGCGACTAGGTCTTCTTTGAGCGACAAGGAACCATCACGGCGCTTGGCCAGGGCGAAAACCAGAGCGTTGGTCCGGCCAATTGAGGAGAAGAAGCGAGCAGCGGAGGAGAGGCGGTTGAACCGCAAGAAAATAGTGGAGATAGTAGTTTGGCGGCAGAGAACTGGAAGCAGAGTGTGTGATAAAGAAGACGAGTGAAGCCAAGCCGAACAAGCCATTGCTAATTCTGTGTGTCATGGATGAAAGGAAACAAGTTGAAAAATATCAAATATAAATTGATTGAAAGCTTAATTTTGAAAAAAAAACAAAAAAATTGCTTATTTGAAATAATAATCAATTACCATACACCCCCTGCCCTGAGTTTAGGCTCATCCAGGAAGATGTTAAAATCAATAATGTTGTGCAGCAAAAGCTTGCATTGAATGACGTGTCAGTAGATATAGTCAATAATATATTAATAAATATTTAATAATTGGATGATTGTTCATTAAATATAAATAGGTATTCATGATTTTTTTACGATAATTTATTTTAAATGGATAATAATAGACTCTCATTCATATTATATAGATGAGAGTTTATCTAATATGGACAAACATTCACCTAAAATTATGTATATCCATAGTTTAAATTTAAAAAAAATTAAAAACAAAAATCATAAACATTCTATATTATGGATGATCATCCTTGCTCAATGAACGAATCTCCTACTCTATTTTTTAAATTAAAAAATTTTACACAAAAATTAGGGATGTCCAGTTGTCCACCCATAGATCATGGACGGCGCCGTATTTAATGGAGGAGCATATGGACGCTTTTACGAGGATTTAAAAAAAAAAAAAAAAATTAGGTCTAAACATTTTGGTCCAAAAAAGTTTAAAAAAACAAAAGGACCTTATCTACTGCTCTTCCTCTTCGTCTGCCGCCGCTCTTCCTTCATCTGTCGCTCTTCTTCTTCGTCAAAGCCATCTGCCATTGTTATAGTAAGTTATTGAGTTAATTTGGTTTTTGTTCATCATGTTTTATTGGTTTTGATTGATTATTGAGGTTGATTGAGCTGTAAAGAACTCAATGAGATGCTAGGAAAAAGTAAAATTTAAACTGTAGATTGCTGCCATAATTCTAAACTTTCATACGAAGGAATTGATTCAATGGCGAATTTGCCTATAAAATCACCCCACTATCTCTCCTTCACTGGACATCCCAATTATCTCTCCTCTCCTCTCTTCTCTCTCTTCTCCATATGATGGAAATGCATAGTTCTAAGGCCTTGCTTTGATAATTCTTATTACGTTGTTTCTTGGTCTGCAAGCTTTGAAACATGCAGTGGTAGAGAAATGAAACAGAGAGATACGCCAGACTCAGAGTTTTTCTGGAATAAGAAAGAAAATGAGTTTGGTGAAATGACTTCCATGAAAGCAGAAAACCCAAGTTTATGTATGATAATTTCCAACCATACAAAAGTGTGAAGAACGCTGCCACTTTTAATGTATTAAACTTCGGAGCTAAAGGTGATGGCCACACTGATGACACAAAGGTGATAATCTCAAACCTTCATGTAATTTTGCATTTCATTAGTTTCAGAGAAACGAAGCCATTCGAAGTTCCAAGCAGCATGTTAAGTCTTCTTGCATCGGAGGTGATGAAATAGAACACAGTTTGTGTTGTGCTGTAGAACCTGCTGAGAACGTGGGCAGCAGAAAATGATAATGAAAATAATTAAATAACGTACACGGACACTGTAATATAACATTGTTGTTACGTTCAAATTGCAGGCATTCGAAGCAGCTTGGGAAGCGGCTTGTAAAGTTGAAGCTTCAACCATGGTGGTTCCAAATGGTTTTGTATTCCTCGTCGGACCTGTTCCTTTCAGGCCCTGATTGTGAACCAAATATTATATTTCAGGAATTATTTAAATTCCATTTTAAGTTTTAACCATTTTTTATTTATTAACGAGAAATGAAGGTAGTTGGGAAATCAAACAGTGATAATTGACTGGAAGGATATTTTCAATCATTGACAAGTTTGCTTTTCTTGGTTTGATGTTTAAACCTGAAGCGTTCATTTCATGGGATCTACGTAGACTTCATGTGGATCGTAACACGTAATACGGATTTAGGGTTGATTGATGGTTAAAGGTTTCCTCAAATGTATTCTTCTAAGTTGACCACTGAGAGAAGTAACTCACAAAATTTACTATTCATGCAGGGATGGGAAGATCATAGCTCCAACAAGCTCTCAAGCTTGGGGTTCAGGCCTTTTACAGTGGCTAGAATTCACCAAGCTTAAAGGCATTACCGTAAAAGGTAAAGTGTCATTGACGGACAAGGCTCAGTCTGGTGGGCCGACTCGCCCAAACACCATCCAACAGATGATTCAGTAGAAGGCTTCAACATGGCCACTTTTAAGCCTTTTTGCTAAAACTAATGCATTACACAATGAAGACCATATCTTGCAGATGAGCTATGAAGATGCAAAGATGCCCAGCACCAAGCCAACGGTAATTATCCTGTCTAAAACTAATGAAAATCTGGCAATAATTTTGAGATCAAGAATTTACATATTTATGGGATTGCCCTTCTTGTGCAGGCACTAAGGTTCTATGGAAGTGACGGCGTGACAGTCACAGGCATAACCATTCAAAAAGCCCTCAACCCACTCAATTTGATGCCTGCACAACTGTTCAGGTTTCCAGTTTCACAACTTCATCTCCAGGTGACAGCCTCCACACAGATGGAATCCACCTGCAGAATCCCAAAATGTGCTCATTTATAGCAGCACTCTGCTTGTGGTAATTCTAAAACTCCAACATGATTCAGCTTTCGACAATCACAAACAAACGAGTTACCACTGCATTTTACAGGAGATGATTGTGTATCTATACAATCTGGATGTTCAAAGTATACATTCACAACGTGAACTGTGGACCTGGACATGGAATTAGCATGGGGGGCTAGGAAAGGACAGCACCAAAGCATGTGTTTCAAACATAACTGTTCGAGATGTCGTAATGCAGAATACATTAACGGTGTCAGAATAAAGACATGGCAGGTATAAACAACTTATCATCACCCAATTTTTCTCTACAATGATGCATGTGTAAAAACCATTAATCACAATAGAACTATCCTTGTAATATGTTTAGATATCTACAACCCATATTTTCTGCTCAGCTTGAGCGAGTATTTCTATTGTTTCTAACTTGCGGGAGGCTCAGGCTCCGTGCAACAAGTAATGTTCTCAAACATTCAAGTCTCAGATGTCGAAACTCCAATCATGATTGATCAATACTACTGTGACAAGAGCAAATGCCAGAATGAAAGTTCAGCCGTGTCTGTATCAGGTATAAACTACATAAATATCCGAGGAACCTATACACAAAACCTGGTGTACTTTGCTTGCAGTGACAGCTTGCCATGCACTGGTATATCTCTAACTACCAAACACTAAAACCATCTGAAAAGTACCAGCAACCATTGTGTTGGGAAACATATGGAGAGCTGAAAACAGCACTGTACCTCAATTACCTGTTTGCAAACTGGCAAACCCTCAAAATCCAGTGTTCCTTACAACAGTGACTCTTGCTAGAATCAGACTAGCTTTACTGTGGTGTAGGGAAGATTTCGTGCTCTGCCTCTGTTCATAGCAGTAGCGCATGTTAGTGTCAAATATGATGCCACTGTCAAATATAGTAGTGCACAGGAACTTTATTAGGGATACAGCAGTTCCTAAAGCAGCAGATCACAATATTGAATATTCTAAATGCATAATCAAAAAGGTGTTGTATGTTCTTTTAATGGAAAGTATATAAATTAAGTTAGCTGAATCTGTTATCACACAAAATGTACAGGACAACCTAGAGATGTTAAGGATTTAAAATGTTTCCTATTCCTTAAGATTTGTGATTTATTTCCTAGCCAGTCTTTTTTCATTTTCTATAAAAACTTGGCCCATAAATAGAAGGCCTAGGTATATCATTTCTTGGACTTGATTACGATTATTGAGAAATAAAGATGGATTTCAGACTCTATTTCCTCTCTTTTCTTTAACGTCAGAGACCCCATCACAGAATCTCAAATATTAATTGATTTCTCTATGGCTTTGATACCAGCTGAAGTGAAGAAAAGCCATTTATATCACTAGTGCCTCCAATGTTGCAAAGCACCGGAAAAATGCATAGAAGAATACATGTGTCCACAAAAACAATCGAGGGTTTGCAACACACTGATGGCCTGACATGGAAATCAATAAATACAACAAACAGTAAAAATAAATGAGTATATTGTATAAAAAGAATGCAATCTAGTTTTGCCACTTAAACAACACACATGAGAGAAAACATTCAATTCTCTCATATTACTATTAAAATTGCTAATATAGAACAAAGCGATGGAGCACAAATAGAATGTTGTTACTTCTTGTCCTCATTTGCCAGTGTATGTTAAAAAGTATGTGTAATAACATAATTGGTATTGATAACCTGTTATCGTTGTTAATGTGTTCACTACACGCTTCTGCTCAGCAAGTTCTTGAATGTTACATGTTCAGCATCATGCCTAAGCTCACCTATCCTATTCAACATAACACAACAAAATAAGAACAAAGTTTAAATATTAATTCAGGTGACAATGAATAAAAATTATCAGTTACAATTTATATGAAGCCTGATTTATTTGAGGAAGCCCATTGATATTTATGATTTTCCAAAACCGACTGCAGCTTCTCCTCCTATGTGCTTTACCCTTTCAGGGCTTGGGAATCCAGTCTTATCTTCATATTTCTTTTCTAAGGCCTGGAAAAATTACATCAGCGTTAGGCAAAAAACTATATATCTGAATATTCAAAAATCAGGACAGCTCACTACCCTTAGTGTCTTCACTTATATATATATCATACAGTGGAATGACAAAAACAAAACCTCTACAAACAAAATGATTGAGTATTGTCAACAAGAATTTTTAAATTCGCCAACATACTGGGTTGTGCTTTAGTGTTAGGCTAAAACTTTCGAAATTATGCATATCTGAGACCACTTTTATGGAAAGGTAGCTCATACATGATAACATCAGCACAGCAGAGTGCCACTGAGAACTAAGATTCACGTGCACAGAGTAACTAGGTGTGCCAAGTATAGCCAGTCAATTCTGTTAGGTTGTTAGTGTTAGTTTGGTGCTTCGAGCTCACTGAGTGAAATCTGGTAGATTTCAAACAATTCCCATATATAAGTGCTGGTTTATCAAGTTTCACTGGTACTTAGCAGAAC